GGCTCTTCAACGAGGAAACAAAAGAGCTCGGCCAAGGGTTCGTGACAAAGGACTTATGCAGAACCTCGTTCTTCTTCGCGCAAAGGACTCGGAGCCCCCCGGAGGAGGCTCCGCTACCAATGCGAAAAAGGTAGCAGCGGCACCCGAAGTCCGCAAACACGAAAACAAGAGGGCGCACTGAAGCGCCGCGGCCGCGCCTTTTGCAAGGCAACTGCCCTCCCAGTCTTGAGAGGGAACGACGGTAAGTGTAAGTCGAAAACAGTTCGAACTGCCGAAACACAAGTGCACAGCGTGAACTTTACAGTATATATATAGAGGATCGACAATGCCGGAGGGAGCATGTCGGCTTGATTGAACACCTTGGCAATGCATTCATCGACAATCAAGGGAAGTACGAGACGCCTGGTTGATCAAAGTTACTGGCACTTCGTCATCAATTGGTCAGCGGAAGCCAGGATAAGTGCAAGGGTTGGAAGGAAGAATATTCCGAATGGATGAAACTGCTAAGTGATGACTGAACATGGGCCGTTCACGCGCCAAGAATGTTGTAAGAATGGTTTGTTCAGAACCTTTGAGATGAAACGTTAAACCTTCGAGTTTCATACAATTAAATAGCTACTAGGAACAAGTGCCACGCTAGTAGTAACAGGTGCCTTACTAGTAGTTACAATGTTCGCTAGAAAGTATGAAAAAAAAACACCTTTCGACATCATCGGCATCTTCTTTCGGCCCCATGCCGTGGAACCTGCTCCAAGCACTGGGTTTGGGCGCCGTGCAAGCGGCGGTCCTTGGATCCGGCGTGTTGGAGCCTCTCGGACACAGACGGTTGAAGCAAGAGGAAGACGGTGGAGGCTTTGTTTGGAACACCCCCGTGTATGGAGGTACATGGGATCCGTGTGAAAGAATATCCTGGTATCATTTAGTTCTGAACTAGGAGGGGGGACACGCATGGTTTAAGGGGAATCTTTGGAATGTCGGGAGGTGGAGATCATCCCCTCAGTTGGAGACACTTGACTCCACCCTCGTTTTGGATTCACGCGTTTTAGAGGGTGGTGTCAAAGATTCTGCCGCTACGTGTGAGGAGAATAGGCCAGCAACAGCATTAGGGAAAGCATCCTGATGGTTGCGGGACACCTCCATGAAACTGTTGTTTCCACCCTTCTCGATCTCGTATGTGCTGCATCTCCAAGGCCAAGCACGTTTTATGGGCTCTCGGCGAAGGATTCCACAGGCTCCACTGTGGGCGTTTTGTGCATGTAGCGGCTGTGAGAACGGATCGAAGTAATCCAAAGCTTCAGACTGTAGTGTTTTGCAGGGTTGGCTTTTGTATGTTGAAGCATGTTGAAGCTTTGGAAGATCATACTTGGCTCAGTTTGTTGAAGAAAGATTAAGAAAGGGTCCCAAGGCCACTGAAAGCGGACACCTCGACGCCTCACAGGTAACGTATTTGATTTCAAAAACCTGAAGGGTGCCAGAGCAGTCCTCGTGACGAATGTCGCCAGCGAATGAGGAGCCTCTCAGCTGCGACTCCTTGAGCTTCAGGTTGCTCCAAAGTGTTCCGGCAGGTAAAACAAAGCCTGGCTTCTCTTTGAGCTCAGTGTTGGACGGCCCTGTATAATGTGCGGAGGTTGGCTGACTGCTGAGGTGACTGCAGTTAATTATGCTGATTTCCTGACGATCCAGCAAAAGCACAAGGAGGGGAGCAAAAGTTCAGTTCCAAAGAATGAGGTGCAGGGTCAAATTTGAAGGAGGCGAGGGGCAATTCTGACCTGTTTCAGTGCTTTGGCATCAGCAAACTGAGAATTGTTGCACCAAGTGGCACAGGATGTCCATGTGGTTGCCTTCCCTTGCCACTTGGATGGAGCACACAATCATAGTTGAGTCACCAGCAGACCGTCAAAAGACTTGCGATATCGAAGATGTCAAGCCCATTTAAGCCTCAAAGCTGCGTCTCTTTATATGGGAAGATCCCAGGCCCATGTGTTTTTCACACTGGGGTGCTCACGAGGCAATCAGTTCGGCAGTCAAGAGCCACAGCCAGACCCTGAAATCCGACGCTTTGCCCAGGCAAGGAGAGGTCTAGGTTAGGCAAATCGATGGAAGCCACCAGAAAACATTATATAAAGATATATTTAATGGATCTGATAGAAATCCTGGATGCTCTCCAACATTGTCTCCTTTTGCAACGGGCGTTGGTTTGCGGATGAAACCACAGCCTTTCGGTTGCAAGGCGAAGGGCTTGTCGATGGACTCGAACTTCCATTTGATGGCCAAGGTCGCGGGAGAAATCGATTTGGCCATATTTTGCCTCAAGCGTTCGAGAAGTTGAAGATACTGTTGTAGTTACTTTTCCCAGTTCCAAGAGGGTGCACACAAACAGCCACAGCCGAGACCCAGATCTTGGCCCATGCTCCATGCTTAGTCCACTCATCAGCGTTCATCCAAGTTTCAGTTTTGAGGTTTGGTATGGTGTGGCAACTACCGTGTCACTGTAGTGGATGTATATACATAGTTACTCTTGGATGCCGCTCAGCCCGAGAGGTAGATGTGAACGGCGCCCAAGCAGATCAAGCGTGGGTCGCACTCAAGACAGCTACTGGCACTGAGAAGCAGGCTGGACCAAGCAGGTGGATCTGGCAGGTGCTTAGTAGGGAATCAGGGAATGATTCCCACAAGAGATGCCATAGGCCTTAGGATCCATTCCCTTGTTCTTTACGAGTCGCACGAGTCAGTGGCGAATTTGGCGTCTCAGAACTCGTCCAACCGAGTGTTCATCATGGTGAATCTATGGCCAACGATTCTTTGGGGGTCTCCTGATTCTGGACGAGCATGAGATGATACGAGATTGAGATGCAACACTATGATTGAAGAGAAATGCATGTTAGATTGGACAAAGTCACGAGGTTTCCATGTCCATAGTCGAAGCCAAGAGAAGAGTCGTGCGGGCCACATGACCGAACACGGAGGCTTGACTGATCCATCCATTCAGAGGCGATAGAAAGGTGATCCCGCTTCACCCCGATGCGTTCGTGGTGATGTTTCAGCGTCCCAAAAAGATAAATAAACACGCCTGTGGAGGACACACGCTGGAACTTTGAGACCAAGTTTGTGGTGAAGTGCGACGACACGGAATGTACCTCGGCCGAATTAAAGCACGAATCATTGGGTAATCATTATTTGGGGATATTTGGGGCTCAATACGAATCGCACCCATTTTTGGACAAATGATAATACACCATCCCCCGATTATTGTGGGCCCCATGATTTTACAGTATGTTCATTCGCGCTCACGGTAATGATATGCAATGATCAATGAAATTCAATGAGCAATCTCGGGTCACTACGTGAGGTATACCATGGTATACCTGCTCATAGATCTCATGTCGCCCAATGTCGATGCGACCTAGTTGCCATAGATCCGTTGACACGTTCATGTTGCTTTTATGCCATGTGCCTTGTTGAACCCACTGGTGTCTCTTTTTGGTCGGCCTTCAGCTCCTTCGGCTTGGAAGGTCCCTCGTGCCCCTTCGGCGGAGTGAGGCTCTGTGACGCGACTGAGTGGGGTTGGCACTTTGGAGGCCCTCCGCAGCGTGGTGCCCGAGGTGTGGCTCGGCGCGAGATGTGGGAGGTGGGGCCAAACGGAGGGGACGCCAAGCCGCTGGGAGTACAGCAGTTGTTGCCGCTGACGGGGGGGGGCGGGCATCGTTTGGTAGGAAAAGGGCCGTTTGTTTATGTTGGGTTGGTTTCCATGGCAATCAGGGTGAATTGGGTGCAGAGATGTCCAGGGTTTCTGGAGTCATGACTCGGCTCAGCCGCTGGGAGTTGCAGGTTGGTTCCAGCAGGAAGCAATTGGACGAGTTGTATAGTTTAACATAGTTTAACAGTGTTTGGCCGGCAGTTTGTTGACCACAACAAGAGTTCCAGAAGACTGGAGCGGGGGGTGGGGGTTGTTGGTTTCCAGTTTGGTGATATTATATATGTGTTCCTTCTTTTTGACTTTGTAGTGTGTTGCGGTGTTCGACAAGTTGCAGGAGTTTAGATAGTTCAGGCAGTGAGTGTCTCACTAGACCAGAAAAAACACACCCAGGAAACTGTTCGGACAAAGTATGGTTTGCATTGGTTTGTCAAGACGGCAGCAATCAAGATGAGCTGTGCGCACAGAAAGGACAACGTACTGTAGCGGCCACAGCAGTCCTGACTGCTTCCTATTTGTATACTTGGATTAGATTAGTTTGGTCGAGGTCTGCTGTCAACTCGCATGGTGTAGGAGTTTTGAAGGGTTTCCGACTTGTTTTGTGAAGGATTTGTGGAACTGTGAGAACATAGTATTCCAGATCAATCCTTCCATCATCAAAGTGTCAGCAGATGGGTCATTTGCTTGGTTTTTCAGTTAACAGGGCTTCATGATAGGCCTCGTGTAGGGCAGCCGGCAGCTCAGGTTGAAATCCGTCAGTGGTGACCTCTAACGGCTACAGCGACTCTTGCGATATGTTTAAGGTTAGCAGAGAATATGGGGAGCAAGTGAAGCGGAAGAATTGCCAGCGTAAAGCACCCAGAGTGCAATTGAGTGGACAAGTATGGACAAGTGCTGCACCGATTGATCTCCCTCTTGCTGCTTCCGCTGCTAGCGAATGATGAGAAGTAGCTGTGAGCTACACTTCCGGCAACACAGTTGACTATCGGTCAGCTGTTCAGGTTCAGGAATCCAACTGGATGGAGGACCCTTCTCCTTCAATGCTGGTTGAACACGGAAGTTTGTGGCAGACAGCTACGATCTTGGAACAGCCAAGCAGTGCGTGTGCTGCAACAGTTGGGACATGCTTTTCCTTCTTTGGTGGTGCAGATCGGAAAGGGGCATACGCAGCGTTACAGCATCCATGCAGCTTCAATGACAGGATGAGTTTCAAGATGAAATGCAATGCACAGTCGTATTTGTTCCACCTTCCGTCACCTTTTTTGAAGACTGACATCGGCTTTTGTCAATCCCGATGGGACAGCAGGTGTGACACATTCCCGCGAGACGTGGGGCGCTGGTCTATTGCTCAGATGAGACGCCTGGGTACTGTTTTGCACCTGAATTCTTCCCACTGGCCCATGATGGCCCATGAAGACCCAGGTTACATAGCAAAGCCCGTGAAGCCAGCCTGGCCCCAAAAGCTTTTCTGATCGACTTGCTGCGTCGCTTCGGTCGAGTCAACGACGCAACGTGTTCTAATGTGTTCTAGCTGGGTGATGCACACCGTACATCAACTTGAATTTGCACTATTTTGAGTTGAATGTTGTCACTGTCACAGTTCCTTTATTCAAACAGGCTAAGAGACCATTGAGGTGGTTGGCTTGCAATACGATTGTTCTGTGCACCAGGCCTCTTCCACGAGACTTGTGAAACCAAGAACTGGTGTGTGAAACCATGTGAAACTGATGCTGTTTGACACCTAACCTAGGAAGACAAGAAGAAAGGGTCCAAGTGGTATGAGCCTCAGATGCGGTGCGCTGGTTGGGTGCATGGCGCGATGTTGTGCCATTGATGAGCAGGCTCAGGCCGGTGCATGCACTAGCACAAGGGCCAAGCCACGCCAAGAACAGCATCATGCACATGAGGTTCAATGTGAAGACTTGGGGCTGTTGGCGAATGGCCTTTTTCATGGCAAGACTGCAGCAGCAGGACAGATTTCCTGGAGAGTCGAGCTGTGATCCTGGAGAGTCGAGTTGAACTAGGTCCAGCTGGTGATAGTGACATATTGTGTCCAGTGTCACGACCAAGTCTTGGTGCCTGGATTGTTGGGTGTGAGTGGTAGCCGTGCAGCGTTCGAAACGCGCCCGTGGCCGGAACAGGTGTGGAAAAAGCGATACGAAGACGCCGTCAGGAATGGCGAGATCGAAGGCAGGCAGTGAGACATTTGTAGGAGGTGCCGGCGACGACTGCGTCGTCACATATGCTGCAGCCAGAAGGAGACAGATAGTTCAATGGTTGGTGGGAGGTCTTACCATCACTGAGTTTCGGGACAAAACATGCTAAGATCTCTACTTGTCGCAAACTCTCAATCACAGGCTTCAATTGTAGACCCCGCCCCAGCTTGATTGTGCACAGTTTTTTCCACACTCCAGGCAAGCCTGAGGCCACCACACCTGAGGCCAGGGAGTGAGTAGAAACATGTAGACACTTATTTGATGATTTTTGGCGCCCCTCCCATGCGTGCTTAACATGCGCCTCATATAGAGTATAAATACATAATATTTGCAACATTTATGCAAGATAGCTGAGAGTGGATGGATTGAGATCTGCCAGTCTATAAGATTGCATCAATGCGTTTGTCCCACAATGGGCAGAGACCCATTGACCCAATGATTGCCGGATGTCACACCACCCGGCGTGTATTTCCTGCCAAGGCAAAGTCCAAGAAACGTGACACGGAAGCTCAGCCACTTGGGTTGAGGAGATCACCGAGGACGAAGAAGACTGCCACATCAGATCGAGAAGTTTGCAATCAAGAATCAAAAGGTCATAAAATAATGTAAAATATCCAAAGGTGTTCCAGAAGAGGGCTTACACCAACAAGTCCAACTCCCTGTGTTTCCAAACGCCCGCATTTTGGTGTCCGCCTTTGGAGCTTGGGACTGGGGAAGTCCCGGGTTCACGCCGTCTCAGGTCTGGGCAGAAACGACGGGGTCGCCCGAGACATGACAAGGGGCAGGCGCCAAAAATGTGGTTTGGAGAGGAGGAATGAGGAGAGTATGGCACTTGTGCTTTGCTTTCGATTGGGTTTAGATGCAAGGATGGCTCCCACGAGTGTTGGCGTCCTCATGCATCCCCTACCCGCCGCCCACCCGGCAAGGCTGCTTCATCTAGTAAAGGCTGGGTCGGCCGTCGTGAAGAACCCACATGTGTTTGCGTCACACACATCCCTCAACAAAGCATGTCAAAGAATGCCAAAGCATTCTGCAGTCTTCGTTGAGAGTCAGAGTTTGGAGGCTCACTGCCCAATGCCCGAACATGACTCCTAGCCAGGTGAAGAGAAGAGGTCCAAGCGAAAGCCGAGACCTCAAACAGGGCGGATGGGACTGCTACTGAGCTGCCTTTAGTCATGATTGTTTTGAGCCATGTTGAAGGATGTTGTTTAGGCATTTTTAAGGCAATGAGCTGCGTTGCATGCCGCGTGTCCCAAGCACACGGTAGCTGTGCGCACCCCATGCGGCTCCATCGCTCGTTAAGGTCATCAACCCCTCCCACCTTGGAGAGCTTCTTCCAGGTGCGGGAAGTGGTGCTTAAAGGTCATCCCACAAAGACTCAAATGAATCCCCATCGCTAGTAGGTTGGAGGCCATCGCTAGTAGGTTGGAGGCCATC